TTTTCCCAGCTGTGTAACATTATCTCAGCACACCCGTTCTTGTATACAGAGCACTTTTTCATTCTAGCTTATCATTTCTCATAAGGTATTTGTGTTCACTGATAGTCTTTTTACAATACACTTGCACACACTTCTGCACATACATACACAAGACGCATACTGCTCACTCAGGAGTCCATGCTGTTGACCAAAATAAACTCAACTCAGGCCTCATTGCTTACTATTATTGTTGAGTAGACTACTTTGGAGACATACAGTCTAGGGATGAGACAGATCAAGCCATTTTCTGCACAAAGCCCATTTGCTTGCTATCACTTCACTTCAATCATTCCATCTGTTGCTCTTGCTGTGAACAATTTCTAACAATACTCAGAGTGCATTTGTGTATGTATTTCCAATGCAAGAATGAAGCTATGGTGAATCAGCTACTGTAGTCCAGGTTCTGCACTACCTTTGGCTGCATCCACACTGCAGAAATAATTCAGCTTGACACCCCTTTAAGTGCTCTGGCTCAATGCTATGGAATTCTGGGAATTATAGTTTGTTGTGGTTCCAGAGTGGAGCAACGTATAGACTAGAGGCCAGCTACTGGACAGACAGCATCATGTGATAAGGTACGGTCACAGATGCTACTATCTTGCTCTAATTCCACTTTTCAAGCCTTGTTTGATAAAAATCCTTGGAAGCTGTGTAATAGTATTTTGTGGGCTAGGCAGGGATACCAAAACCATCCTCTTTACTGGTAGTCACCACAGTGCACTAAAATTAAAACTATTGCTTGCAACAACAAACAACAACAACCTCATCTGGAATTATTCTGAAGTTAATAAATTAATTTTGCAGAAATTTGCTGGAGACAAAATTATCCAGCTCCAAATGAAGTTGTTATGCTGGAAATTGCAACTTTAAACAAGATGATAGATCTCAATGCATGATCTGGAGGCACATTATTCAGCCACCCTGAGGTATGGAATTGATCAGCATTTGAATAGCAGAGTACTTTGGGTACCTTGTAGTGTGGAAAAAATGTGCAAAAGTATTGTAAAAAAGAAGGGGAGAATAACTAGCATCATTACTCAGTATCAAAATGTTTAAGGCTCAGTCACTAATATGGCAATCTCAAGATGATGCTGATCATATGCACTAATGTACAAAATACAGTTGTCTATTCAAAGTTCTCATTATTTCAAGAGTGGGAATCATGCAGCCCTTGCAGCTCCAAGCATCCCTAGCCAACAATAACCAATAGTGAGGAATTCTGAGAGTTACAGTCCAAAAATATACAAAGAGATACACAGTTCCTACTGGTTTGTATTTGAAGGATGGTCTGTGCAGCCCATGTCAAGTTAAAGCCACAGACCTATAAAAGGAAGTGCATCAGCCGAGATTGTCCATCAGGATTTATCATTTTGGTAGTAGGTAGAGCAGACTCACAAGTCATTTAGCCCAGTGTTTCCCAAACTTTGGACCTCCAGGTCTTTTGGACTTCAGCTTCCAGAAGCCTTAGCCAATTGGGCCAACAATCAGGACTTCTGGGAGCTTAAGTAAAAACATCTGGAGGACCAAAGTTTGGGAAACACTGATTTTAACCATTGTCACAATCTTCCCCACTAAAAAGAAATTTTTTGTTGTCCCCCCATTCTCCTCTTCCTTTTCAACTTTATTTATACCCAATTAGCATCTCTCTCTATAATATTGTAATAAGTAAATTCCATGCAATTCTTTTTCTGCTGTGCTTATCTTTGATTTCTCTCTTCTTTATATTTTTGTGAATTGTTTTCAAATTATGTAAGCTACTCCAGGCATAGCTTCCATCATAGAAGGGTGCAGTATAAATATTTGAATAAATAAATCAAATAAATAGCACCCTGTCAAGATGAGCAGAGACTCACACAAAAACTAAAGGTGGCATAAAATCAACATGTGCTGAAGTTTCAGAATGCAGGTTTGAATGCTGACAAAGTTTAAAATGTGGGATGCAAGGTTATATTTCTATGCAGAGGGGCGTGGTATAGATAAACTTTATTATTATTATTATTATTATTATTATTATATCCTTGGGGAGTGAGCACTATTGCTTATGTTACTTTCTCCCTTTTCTTATCTCTATATCCAATCTGTATGATCCGCTTCTATGTGTGGTTTTTTATCCACATCCAGAAAAGAAAACCTGTCACTTTCTTTGTGTACCTTTCTGTGGACATTTTTCTTACACCACATGCATTGTTTATGTGCATCTATCATTGCATTGTTTACGTGAATCTATCATTGAGGAAGAGTTGCAATGCAGTGTTGCCAGATTTCAGGGTCTCCTGGTCCTGAATCTCCAGTTTTCATGGGTCATCCCCAGGTGGGAGATGAGGGTGCAAGTTCTCCAATTTTGGTGAGCTCAAATCTGGGTAAGAGGAAAGGGCTGTGTGCAAAGATTATCCAGGGGATGGATGCATTTAATGAATTAGCTTCCTTGCTTTGCTTCCAGTCCTGGTGCCAGGGCTCAGACCCCACTTTGCTCTACATCCAGTTTCTGGTTAGAAGCAGATGAGCTAAATGTTCCTTATCTTGTAAGGAGCCCTGGTGGCACAGTGGTTAAATGCTGGTATGCAGCCACAAGGTTGTGAGTTCGATTCCAGGGCTCCAAGGTTGACTCAGCCTTCCATCCTTTCGTAGGTCGGCAAAATGAGTACCCAGCTTGTTGGGGACAATTGGTTTACAGACTGTAAACTACTTAGAGAATGCTGAGTTCACTATGAAGTAGTATAGAAATGAAAATGCCATTGCTATTGCTGTCTCCCTAACAGGCACAATCCCCTTATTTCACTTTGATCTAGGAACAGCCCTTTTAGCTGAGACTTTTTTCTTACTTTCAAAATCAGAAAATATGTTCTCTGTGTGTGTGTGTGTATCTGTTTGAGAGGTTGAATTTATTTGTATTTGTTTATTTATTGAATTTATATCCTGCCATCCTCCCAAGATGGGATTCAAAGTGGCTTACAATAATTTTAAGAGACCAAACCTAAATATTAATTAATAAAATTTTTGGAAAGAATTAAACAGCAAGGAATGACAAGCTGAGAATCATCAGGGACTATTCCTAGGTCTCAAGTTTTGGGACAATTATCTGTGATATTAGATCCGTGCCAGCTATTCATATATAGCAGCCAACCAACACTGGACGTTTTCACACTCATGGCTCTAAAGCTGCTTGGAAGCCGCCTGGAAGCAATGAAGAGCCATTCCGGCGGTGAAAACAGCAGCCACCGTAATGGCTCCTGATTGCTTCCGGCAGCAGCCACTCTAATTCCTTTTAAAAAAAGGAATTAGAAAGACAGGGCTAAAGCCGGCTAGCGCTGGGGATGGCGCTGGATGGGGCGGTGGCGGTGGCGGGGCTTGCTGCGACGTCATGTGAACACGCGCAGCAAGACCCCGGACGGACGCCGGATAGCGGCAGGGATGGCGCTGGATGGGGCAGGACTTGGTGCGACGTCGTGTGAAAAATTTGCAGGAACAGCCGGAGTGGGGCCGGACGGAGGTAGGATTGCCTCCGTCTAAAGCCCCGTGTGAAAACGCCCACTGTGTTAACCAGTCCAAAGAGCCATTGCTTTCAGAAGATAAAAAGCTGTAAATTTTGCAATTGGGCTGCAGTTTCTTATTTCTGAAAATATCTTCCTTCCCTCCCCAAAACAGCGAAGTTTCTACATTTTGCAGCAGAATTTCTAGATCATAGCTGTTTCTTTGTGTTGGCCTCTGCTTTCCACCTTGAATAAGAGTATCTGTGTAGTACTGTGGAAGGTTCAATATGGCTGCCAGGGTACCCATGTAGTGCCGGTTTAGGAAAGGAAACAAAGACATCATGTGCAATAGTTAGAATAGAAAACAGGTATTAAATGAGCTACTGCAGGCTCCCCTTGCAAAAAAAAAATCTATTGGAGTTTCTGCCCTCCCTAGAGTATGCTTAGAAGAAGAGCACCTCCAAATTTTAATGCCTACATGTAATGTGAAAAATGTGAGGAGACCATTTTTGCCTTCCTCTGTTCAAATCCTGTTCCCATTTCCCTTCCTATTCCTTGGCTCCTTTGGTATCTCCAAGGTAGAAATCCATAAATAAGAGGCATCCATTATTGTTATCTACTCCTGTCTATCAATATCTGCTTGGAGAACAATGCATTGTCTCCTTCCACTTATGATCAGAACCCAACATGGCTCACAACCTGAGTTTGCGGTAGAGACGAGGGAGACTCTTTTGTTCAAATTACACCACAGAATTGGAGCATATGTAGCCTCTCTGTTGCTGTGGTTACTGTCCACCTCTAACCTACCATATATTTCAGATGTCAATCTACCCACCTTTCCATTGTCAGTCATGGATCCATTTTTTGCTTTCTTTATCTTTATAATCTGACAACCACATGAAAAATATAAATCTACATTTAATCAAAAATGTGCTTTCCATTTCAAAATTAAACAAGAATCTCACCCCACCCACCCCCCAGATCATGCATCTCTACTGCACAGAGGCTGCCATTTCTCCAAAATCATAGTTTGTCCTGAGTGCCAACAGTATTCACTTAACACCTCCCTTGGGGTCATGGAGAGCAGAAAATTGTCTCGCAGGTTTGAATGGCATGGTGTCACCCAACAAAACAGGTTTTCCTGGGACAGGAATGACATACTCCTGTATGGAGGTTTCAGTACCTGATGTAGAAAAGCAAAGAACATATCACACCCACCATGTCAAAGCGCACAGTGCTAGCCAAGTTATTTGGCACATCTCACAAGAAAAATCCCACAAGTGCCTCTGCCCCCCCAAAAAAACAATTAGAGGTTGTTGTTGTTGTTGTTGTTGTTGTTGTTGTTGTGTGCTTTCAAGTCATTTCTGATTTATGGAGACCTTAAGACCAACATGGGCTTTTCTTGGCAAGCTTTGTTCAGAGGAGGTTTGCCATTGCTTTCCCCTGAGGCTGAGAGTGTGTGACTTGCTGAAGGTCACCCAATGGGTTTCATGGCTGAGCTGGGAATCGAACCTTGGTCTCTAGATTCATAGTCCAACACTGAAACCACTACACTATTCTGGCTCTTAGAAAGTGTAGCTATTAAAATACACAGTACAATGAGAGCAAAAAATATTCACAACGGGATTATGGATATTAATCACAGAATCAGACAAAATTCTCTTCACCCTCCAGCAGAACTTGATTGCATTCTGATGTAAGAGTTCACACCATTCCTGCCAAAATGTGCAATGTAAAATACTTGAGAGAAAACTATCTTGCCTTTGTGGTTTCTAGAAACCGAAAACATGGAATCAATTCATTCCAAAAAAGCTGGGACCAAAGAGCCTGCAAACAGAGATAGGACACAAAAGCAATTTCACTGAATCGGCAATATGAGAGCTCTGAGAGAAAAGTCAGACACCCCACTATCTAATCCATCTCCTCCTTGCCAACAGAGAATGGCTTCCTATACATTTTCTAGCCCTTTTGTATATCACCAACCCAGAGTAAAGTTTATAAAAGCAGGCACTCCTTCCAAAAGCAATTTACATGACCAGTTATCTGCTATATTGTTCCCTTTTGGGTTATTTCAGCTATTTGCGCTGAGCTAAGAGGCTTATTCCTTCTCTCCCAGCCCACTTTCTCCTTTATCCGGCATTGAAGTCATAATCCCATGCTTTTGACATCCAATGCTGTTGAATTTGGAATGGCTGCAAGTTCACAGATTCAGCAGCCAGTGATGGATCTCCCACCCAGGTAGAAAGGAAAATGAAGACACAGAAGGAAAAGAGATTTGTGGGTAGGGCATGTGATAATGCTATTGGGAACAGTACTAACAGTAAGAAGAGACAGAGGTAGAAGAAACTGTCATGTTCGGACAGTCCCTTGGTTTATGTGGCTTCAAGTACATAATATGAGGTGAAGGATTCAAGGTGCTGGTGGACCACCACCTTATATAAAGTTATAGAGTTGGAAGCAATCCTAAGGATCATCTAACCCAGCTCCCTGTCAGTGCTGGGATCTATTGATAAAGCACCCCTGAACAGTGGCTGTATAACCCCAGTTTAAAAATTTCCAGTGAAGGAGAATCCACCACGTTCTTAGGTTGCATATTCTGCTGTTGAATAGTAATTAGCATCACAAAGTTCACCCTAATGTTTAGACAGAATTTCCTTTCTTATACATTTGAATCCATTAATTCAGGTCCTAGCAGCAGCAGAAAACAAGTATGGTCCATCTTCTGCATGGATGTATTTTTAAAAAGTGTTAAAACATGTGAACCTCAGGAAAGGGGCATATCCAACAATACACATCAGTTTCTGTTAAGAAGCAGACAAAACTCTAATAACTTGATATAGTACTTGGATGAGAAGAGAATACTGATCAGATAGTAATAATTATTATATAGTATATTTCATTTTTTATATGCCTTTAAGTCATTTTTTACTTATCACAACCCTAAAGCAGAGTATTCTTGGTAGGATTTGTTCGGGATGGGGGTATTCTTTTGCTTTCCTCTGAGGTGTGACTCACCCAATGTCACCCAGTGGATGTCCATGGATGATTCAGACCCTGATCTCCAGAGTTGTATTCTTGGCAAGTCAGTTTTGGTGCTCTTGGCATTTGGGTTGTGTGAGCCATGGTTTCTGCAAGCCTGGATAACATTTATTAAATGCCCATTTGTTTGAGGGCTATATGACTGTTTAGAAGATAGATGGACAACCTATGGCACTTCAGATGTTGATGGGCTCCACTTTCTACCAGCCTCAACTAGCATGGCTAATGGTCAGTGATGATGGGACCAGTAGTCCCCTCCCCATAAGGACCAGCTGGTCTTGAATACCAAATGATTTAAGCTGTGGAACCCATGATCTTTACCATGAATATTGGCTTGACATATTACAATGGTCCCTCCACATTTGCTGGGGTTAGGGGTGAAGGACCCCCATGAATATGGTTAAACCACAAATAAAAAAACATATTCTTTTTAACCTAACAGAACACCACTCTAGGAATCCCCAGGTCCTCCACTCCAACTCTATGGTCAACATCTGCCAGAGGTTGATCATAGAATCATGCTGGAGGACCTACAAATGTCTAGAAAAGTGTTTTCTCTAGGAATCTCTATGTTCTCCAGCACAACTCTATGGTCAACCTCTGGCAGTTGCACTGGAGGACTTAGAGATTGCTAGAGAGAACATATTAATCAAACCCACAAATAATCAAATCCTCAAAAGTCAAAACCAACTGTAGTCCATTACTATGCAGTTGCCACCAACAACTCCTCTCCCTCAGTCCTTCATGTTGATATATAGCAGATTCTGAAGTGCACAATCTGAAAAGCAGAAAATATTCTCAGTAAAGTCAGAACCACTCCTGAATCTGCATTGACAAACACATCCTTGCTCAACGTGCCTATATAAACCATGGCAGTTCCCATCTGGCACATGCTCTTTGTGGACCCAATAAGCTTTTCCAGTCCATATGTAACCTAAATTAAAAAGGTCGAAATATAACTGAAAGGAAAGGATAACTGGTGACCTTGTTCTTGCCCCCCAAATGAAAAGAGTATTTTGATAATCAGGACAAAAAATGCAAAGAATGAAATGTACAAGTAGACCTATTGTGTTGTCAGTTTTAAAGAATTCATGTCTACGAATTATCAGCATGTGTTCATAGCTGTTTCCTTAGTTAACAACTCATTGTATCTCCTCAAGGCCATAACTATGCAGGCAATCACTTCCTTCTCCCGCAAAGAAAACAGCCTAGTCTGTTTTTCTATGGATATACTCTTGGGTTCTACAATGAGTGTTGGTGTGTGCAAACCCCCAAGCGCAAATGTTCCAGACTGACACTGCCCACCAGAATGTGGTGTGTTTTTTTTTGGGGGGGGGGTTGGACACAATCCTCTATGGGCTTTTCCCTGTTTTATCTGGGGGTTAGTATACCATAACTACTTTTTTTCATATTGCATAGTGAGGCCTCCAGTACCTCCTTATACAATGCATTGGCCAGGCTCTGAAATAAGTATCAAATGGTGCCTTGAAAGCAGCTCCCAACCTAAATGGCAATTTCTTGGCTACAGGGCATCGCTGGTGGCTTCCTAATGCCACCTCCAGGCCATTTGCTTTTGTCTTCCCTCTCTGGCACCTGGACTTCCATATATGTGTGCTAGCAGAATTGTATGCTGGGCTAGCTTCAAATAAGAACTTGGACAAAGACCGTTGAGAAAAGAAGATAGCTGTGTGTCCCATCTTATCCATATTTACCTTATTCATTACAAAACTGCTTTCATTGACCTTTAAGAATTTGCAAAAGGCTTACTTGTAATAGCCAGGAAGCTTCCTATGTGCATACCAGCAGTCAGACTGAGAGCATCTTAGCCTTAAAACTATTCCTTGGCCATAGTTTGACTTCTAAACAGCTGTTTCTCTCTCTTTCTCTCTCTCTCTCTCACACACACATTTCTGCCTGCAGAATACAAGCAACTCCATGTTACATTTTGGACACAATGAAACTTACAGATAGGATTGCATTGTGATTTGTTTTGCTTTTCTTACCCTTTGAGATGACAGCTCAAAGATAACTGTTTTGAGACTAACTGTGCGAAAGAAGCTGTAGCATAAGCTTTTGTAGATTTGGTCTATATAGACCAGGGGTAGGCAACCTTTCCCCTTTAAGGGTCAAGGGACTTCAGCTCCCAGAAGCCTCAGCCATGTTGGCCAATAGTCCCATGTTGGCCAATAGCTCCTAGGATTCTGGGAGTTGAAGTCCCTCGGCCCTTAAAGGGGAAAGGTTGCCTACCCTGGGAGGGAAGCATCTAAATCCCACAGATAAATAGGATTTAAATCTGGGAATATCCCGCAAAAGTGGGATTGTTTTAAGACGACGTCAGACTAATTGAGCATTAACGTGACATTAACCCATGCAGAAAGTCACAAAATTGTGCCGCTTTTTACTTTCAGGAAAATCCTGAATGTACAAAGCGGCACGATTTTGCCCACATTCTGCATGGGTTAATGTCGCGTTAATGCTCAATTAGCCTGACATGTCTGAAAACAACCCCGCTTTTGCGGGATATTCTCGGGATTTAAACCGCGTTTATCCACAAGATTTGGGTGCTTTGCCTCCGTATGATAAACTCCTAAGTCTATGGAAGCTTATGCTACAACATTTGGACAGTTAGTCTCAAAGGTACTGCAAAATCCCTTTGCATACTAAATCCTTCTAGATTAGGGGCACAACCTCTTGCACCACACACAATCCTTTCTAGTTTCTTGAATTTCAATGAATTTCTGACCTCCAGAGTTGTATTCTATCAACCTGGGGATATTAGCACAAACCAGACTGAACGGTGGATGCCAATCTAATCCACCAAGACAGTGTTTCTGCTTCATGAATGTTGAGCATGCACTGAATTGGACATGGTCATGATCATTTCCTGACAGACTGTAGACTAGAGTTTTGCTATACCAATGTCTTAATTGTTTTAGATAAATAGGTATGTTTTTCAAAACAACACATATGCTACTGTCACTTGAAGATGGTGCCCAGCTAGGGATGCACAGTAGGGTAGCCACTCTTGAAAGAGGAAACTGGTTTATCTCTCATTGTTAAATATATCTGAACTTTGCTTTAGGGGAAGTGCAACATTCAACCCTAACAAGTCACAGTTCTTTAGTTCATGCTATGTTACCTCTGGAACATAGTGTCTCCTTTCTTATTATACTATTTGAACATCAATAACAAATTCCTTCTCTGTGTAAACATTTTACAAGTGTGGAGAAGTGTGGCCCAGAGCCATCTTCTGTCTCAATAAGGAGATGGTTCTCTGTGCCACCTAATTCACTTCTGGATGTCAGAGCAAGGGTTTTCCTGCCTATTTTGGGCATCACGGACATGAGATTAGGATACGGAACTTGGTGGAAGAAACAGAAGGAATTTAAATTAGCATAATGGAAATGCAACTTTCAAGAGTTCAATCCAAAATCATGGGATACAGATGTCAGTTCATTCATCAGGAAGTGTGATCAAACAGGGCAATGTTCAAGATGAAGCCAGGTGACATTTTGACGTACACA